TGTTTGACTGATCTAAATACTTTTGTCAAAAGGAAGATGAGAGACTCCAGACCCAACATTGCAGATTACCTGAAGTAACCTGGGCTTCCTTTACACTTCAGGAGAACCACAGGCTAATTGTTTCCGTACCACGCTGCATTGATGCAGTAATTCATGCTCAATAGAGCGCATAGACATGAACATCCTTTTCAAAAGCCTGGCATTTCTGTTCAATTTTTAATTGTCTCATCTAGTATCCTAATATTCTGAGACACTGAATTTTGGGTTTTCATTGTCCACATGTTCCTTTTAAGGCAAACGTGCATGACTCTTTCAATTTCAGATCTACAATTATTATATTACTTGTATTTTTATATTCTATTTCTTATGTTGTTTTTTTTTTTGTTTTTTTGAAGAGCAGGTAAGAATGACAAAATCATAAGTAAATTTATTGTTTTTAAGCAAATAAAAAAAACATTGGACACTGCTGCAGAGGATGTAACATTTGTTTCAATTCTAATTTTTCCTTCTGCATAAATTCTTCACATTTAATGGGTCATCTTGCAACAGATAGCAAAATAGTGAAGGTACTTTGCATGCATGATTGCTAATATGTCTATTTTTAAAAGCACAGGTTTATGGGTTCATAAGCATAGAGTTATTCTGACACGCTTTATTTTGGGAACCTTTTAGACCAAGGTGTTACTTTCTCTGGCAGATCTGCTAAGACTGTAGAAACCCTGGGTTACATGCAGTCTGAGGACCTAGTGGACTTTTCATTCTGGCTTAATGGCTGCTCAGCTGTTCTTTGAAGCTGCTTTGAAAAAAATGACCTATTTTAGGATTTCTTTATCATTTTGACAGTTGTGGGGGCTTAAGCCTGTGTGTGTGCTTACATGCCAAAGATTTCCTCGCTTGCGGATCGTGTTCAGTGCACCTGCATATGTGCATCGTTTCTGCTGACATAGATACGGGCGTTCCAATAATATTAATACTATTACATTTCAGCAGAGAGCTCAGGTGTGCAACAAGAGAACAGAAATAATTTCTGCTCAGAATGACTTGGATGTTTGTGTGTTTTTTGCAAATGCTCCCTCTGCTGCCATCTCAGAATAGAATGCACTGTTTTTATTTTTAGAAACTTTCATCTTAAGTAGGCCTGGAGCATATTTTTTTTCTTCTTTTCAATTAAGGAATCAGTAAAACCCTTTGCCATTTCCACTAGCTGTAAATGTGACTTTTAATATTTCAACACAAGACCCGTCTCTTCAACCTCGCTGGTATTAGTCAGTGGGGTGGCACTTTGTTATGCTGATTCTCACACAAGACCAGGGCCTTCCACGTGTGGAAAACTTATTACAGCTGTCATCATTTATTCAACAAGCAGTTTGGTGGTTGATTTATGCAATGAATAGCTAATGGAGCAGCTGCTACAAGACTCAAATCTGCTCTGTGATTTATGGCTTCGGTATTATAGCTACAACATATTGGGTGGGCTTCTACAAAAACAAAGGTATTCTGTCGTGCTGGGAATGAGTCATGCAGGTAGATGTGATTATATCTGAGGTTTTCTGACAGGTGAACACCTGCTCTGTAATGGGCTCTGCGGCCACTGGCTTGGCTGCTGCTGTGTTTGGTGCTGCAGTTGTCCTGCTGCAACTAATAGGCCTCTGGCTGGCCTGTGCTGCTCTGGGTGATGCAGACTTACCATGAACACTCTGAGGGCCGTGATTGTAGGATGGAGTATTTGTTCTTCAAAGCACACAAACTTGCTCTGTCCTTCTTCAAAACATAACATACTGGCTTATTAACTCAAGCTGGAAATTTAATTTAAGTTAACAAGTGCATTGAAAGGGTCAACATGCCATTTGCCTCAGAAGAACTTTCACCTGGGAATAAATTGGACTATTTGTGTGTAATTCAACAAAATGTCCAAAAACGTTTTGGATCATAGTTCTGCTCTCTGACGATATTTATATTTACTCTTATATCCTGAAAAGGTTAAAATCAACATCTTGACCTGCATTTCTATGTACCCTTACAGCATCACCACATAGTTCTGCTACCTAAAGACATGTGCAGATAAATAGTTCATTGCTGTCCCTACTATGCAGACAATTTGGTGGAGCATTGGGGACATTTCAGGATTTTTATTTTTCATATTTGAGCTAAGAGGACATAATGGACTTTGTCTAACAGTAGCCAGTAAGTTTTGATTTTTTACCTTTGTTGTCATAAAAGTGTACTATAACAAGGGATTGTATTTGGGTATAAAAATGACTTTAAAAAAACACACACACAGGAATCCTAACCCTACTCCCCTAACCCTAACATTTTAATATTTAAAAAATATAAAAATGTTAAAGCTGCTGTAAAAGTTCCTTATAATAAAAGTCAAACCAGCTTGAAGAAGCACACAGACCTCTGAACTGCACATAGTGGTTGATAGTTGATCAATGTAAGCTTTGGGTTTTTTTTTTATTTAGGTCTATATTGTCTTAAAATGTGTATATTTCCTACCCTTCATGAATACCCAATGTGTACAAGGTCCCTCTCCTTGCCTTGTACACAAAGTATTTGACAACCTTTCACTTATTCACTCACTTACTTTTGCCTTGTTGCTCCCTGGTCTTGTTCCCAACGCTCCCTGTCATTCCCCTCTGTTTATAATTATAAGAGAGAAAAAACAATTTACAGATAATTAAGTGACAATTATGATATGCTACTCAGGGGAGGTTTTGCCTTGGGGAATAACATAGTAGGTTATCCTTGAGGTCATTTGTTAAATGCCAGAACCACGCACGCACGCACGCACGCACGCACGCACACACACCCACACACACACACACACACACATTATATCATTGGTGATTGGAGTGAAATGAATGTATTTTTTCCCCCTATAAAATTCAGTATGTTTTTTATGACACAAAATAGCTCCTGTGTCTCAGCTTAAACATGCCGTGTGTAATAAATAAGCCACACTGCAGTGGTGTCCTTTGACAGTTTACATAATGAGGAGCCTGAACGTAGCGATACGAGGCTAACTGTCTAACATACGGAGCTGAGGGAAACATTGCTGGGATTCAATAAGATTGGACTAGACCCATCCTCGGATGCTCTGAAGAGGATAAGGCTGCACACACATACATATTAAAAAAATCACTCCGGCTCTCCTTCTGTCTCTGAGGCAGCTCTCTGGTTTGGGTCTCACAATGCAAACAGGATGTAACCTATTTTGATCACGGTGCCATATTGCATCGTTAAATATTCAAAGACTCGACTGAACTGCATTATGTCTGCTAAACGGTGTTCGTAGAATGCTCTGTGCTGCTTCCTTGGATCCTTTATCTGGATGTATTAAGAAAAAAACAAGGATGAACGTATTTTTCTTTTATAGCTGAGGTCACTTAACTGTAAATTTAATTAATTTTTTTTGGTTGTGCTTTTGGTAGCATCTGGGCTGCAGTGGCAGTGGACCTTTCTATTGACTCAGCTTTGCTGTACTGGTTTGTCTGGCTAGATTTCAGAGTCAATAACCGTTTGTGACTGGAAATACACCCTTTTGTGTCTTATTTCCATCTCTCCTCTCTGCCTTTCCCTCTCTGCGTCTCTCGTCGGCCCATCTCGTTTCCCCTCTTTTGCTCTCCGCTGATCCCAACTTTGGAATTCACGGTTGCTATGGTAACAACGTCGGGTTGGTCCTCTCTCCCTTTTCAGACTCGATGCTGTGCACATGCTCTGAAGTCACTCTCACTTTAGCCTGTCACAGTGCCCTTGCTATAATTACCCTCTTTAGTGGGGTGCAAATATGGTTTCACAGAAAAGCTGGGAGCCGGAAAATAATTTTGTGACTAAGTTTTAAGGTTAAAGCACTTTCTCCCAGTGGTCCAAAAAATGTCGCAAACGCGTAGCTTTTGCATGCACTGAGAGAATGTTTTATTGGTGTCTAGTCCCACATCGTGTCTCTCTGTGGTAATCACAGGAATTCAGTCAGCACTGAAGGGAAAAGAGCACCTGAGAGGACCAGCTAGGTCTTGCTGAGGACACTTTGCTCAAAGTTGCAATGTGGTCGCAGCTCAGTCGTTTTGTGCAAAGTGGTGTGTTCAAGTGTTTGAAATAACCCACAGGGAGGATCTGAAACTGGAAAAAAAAAAAAGACAATTTGGGGCAAAAACTACCAGAAGTTTACCTTTCTGTAGGATGGCTATAGCTTTGATGTGTTTTGACCGATAGAAAAACTTGTTGAAAAACGTGAAGGAATGAAGTAGATTTTGTGAAAAGTCTATGTCAGTTATGAGGCACTCCCCTTAAATATACTGCATCTATATTGGGTAAAAGAGTGTAACATTTACAAAATGCTGTCACACTTTTTTGGTTCCTTACTAGACTACTGAGGGTAACTTTTAAGCTCAGATTCTTCACTTCATTTTTGTCAAAATCTGCATCGACAACAATGCCGAACCACCGTGTGGTAATACCATCATTACTACAGACATCAAAACTCAAAAAGAAGATACCGAAAACTGCTGAAGTTCTTCTGGGCCGATTGTAGCTCTCTGAGATTGCAGCTTCTGGTTTCGTTAACTGACCCCATCAGCAGACAAAAGCAAGACTGACGTGGTAACAAAACAGAAAAGTGGCTACATAATGACTCTGGTTTCTAACAGTAGTAGAGGACATATGTATGTAGGCTTGATAGACAACAACATCGCAATTTTTAATTATCACAAGATAAGCAGTTCACATCAACACAACGCAAATGGAGTTTCTTAATTTCTGTTATCAAAAACTCAACTTGCAGGTCAACAAATGGTATTTAATTAACAGAGTTTTTAGAAAATATGTTTGGTGGTTGCTTTTATTACTCCTTTCATTGCACTGGGAAATGATCTATGCCTAGTACATTATTTATTGATAATTATATCATTACTTCATGTACATCTGCTAGATCATAAATACAAATTAACATTTTAAATAATTAGTAATAACTTCATATTTTTGTTCTGTTTCTTTTGCAGCAACAGACAGGAGGTGCGGTGACCATGGGTTTTCCGCCGCTAATTTTCTGCTAACGGAGGACGGACAGAGTGGGGTAGCTGTCCACAACCCCCATAAACTTCACTTCCTCCAGGAAAGAAAGAATAAAGGAAAAAAAAGACATTGGGGTAAAAGTGAGAGAGGCACAAGAGGAAAAACAAGCGCAAGAAGGAGCAAGGGGAGCAGGTGAAAACAGTCGATGGATGCTGTCCGGATCGAGGGGGCAGCAAGTTCTTCACTGACAAGGAGAAAAAAGATTTCAAAATTGAGTCGAAGGATAGAAACTCGCCGTCAGGTAGGGATCAGTCTTTTTCCTCACAGGTTTTTGTCTGCATGCAGTTAAAAAAAAACAGATTTATCAGTAAGAAGTGGCTCCAGTGTAATAGTGAGCAACTTTACAAATTAAAGCACGCTTGCACAGGGCAGTACGGCATGCAGTAACCAGGTTAGTGGTGCTGCCTGTGCAAGTGCATGCAAAGAAGCTGGGTTTGTTAACGGCTGGTACAAGGTGATCACACGTGTAATCTGGCGTGCTTGTGTTTGTGCATTCATCCCCTGCTCTGCTGATTGTGAGGTTGAGAACAGAGTCCTGCTCATGAATATGCAGCAGACTGAGCTGGGGAAGGGAGTGTGATCGTCTCTGCTCCACATCAATTCAGTCTTGTTAAGCAGAGTCAGCAGTCATTAAACTCTCCTCCAAGGACACATCATGAGGGCCACTCACACGCCTCCCACACCTGCCTCCACCTCTTGTCGTTTCTTGTCTCATCATCTCACTTCTCATATCAGCCTCCCGCTTATCACCTTACCCGCTGCTTTTCCAGCTTAACTTTACAGTGTCTATGACTGTAAATCCTCTCCTGCACAACAAATGCTTGTCTGTTCCCGGGCTGCGTCTTTTAATCTCCGCTCTCTCCATCCCCTCCCTCACTTTGCACCTCTCCTAAAGGCATGGTGTGTGAGAAGGGGATCCAGATCCTCCTCACCACCGTGGGGGCATTCGCTGCCTTCGGCCTGATGACGGTGGCCATAGGGACGGACTACTGGCTGTATTCCCGTGCCCTCATCTGCAACAGCACAGCCAACATCACGCAGGATGATCCCCACAACAAGGACAAGAAGGACCCTGGGGCACTCACCCATTCGGGGCTGTGGAGAATATGCTGCCTGGAAGGTATGAGAAAAAAAAATGATGTCAAAAGGTGCGATCCAATGTTTGGTTGTTCAGAAATAAATATGGGTGCGTGGTTTCAAATTAGCACTTAATCTAAATCGAAGTAAAACTCTTGCCTTTAGGATCTTTAACGACTGAACAAAATGTACATTTCTTCTTCCACAAGCCGTCTGTCTCATTGGATCCAATCCGAATGTTCATATTCAAACCTCTGAAGCAAAATTAGTGTTGAAAATACTAGAAAGATGATGACTACGAAACTGGTATTACTGTGAGATGCAACATAACTGCAGATATTTTATTTAGAACGGCTTTACATGCAATCCTATAACCAGACCTCTAGAAAAATGATGAGCTTCTGTTGTCTTTAAATAAATTAGAATGAATAAATTGAACTATTATCTAAAGATAACTATTATTCGACCATTAGACACAATGTGCCCATTTGCAGATTTCTTCTGTTTTTGTATTTCTGTGACTTTTTCATTTTTCAGATTATCCAAAGTGGACAATTACTGTTTCAAAATGTCTCGATTGACAAATGAGATCATCATATGAAAA